CCACAGCCATAGCCTGAGCCATAGCCACAGCCATAGCCTGAGCCATAACCACAGCCATTGCCAGAACCATAGCCACAGCCATAGCCTGAGCCATAACCACTGTAGTAGTTGCAACACATGTTGTTGAGAGGTGAAGTTTCAGCTGAGGTGTCGGAGGATGATTCTGAAGTTTGAATGTCATCCACTACCCCAGGTCCTTTATATACACCAGAAAGGGGCGGGTCACACTTAACATAGACTCTGTGACTTCATTACAATAGCAATTTTCATTTTTAAAAAGATCATCATACTAAGGAAAACAATATTTTAAGATGATGATGTCTAGGATTTAACAAGTCCATCAAGGGATTTGTAAGAAAGCTAGTTTCCCCAACACATTGAAGAAGTATGTCCGGTGGAATGCAATAATACAACAAATACAGATGTTTCTCTTCAGAGGCATTAACTTTGCAGCAGTTCCAAGTATACAAACCTGGGCACTGGAAGATGGCCCAGTATCTTATATTTCAGCATCAGCAGGAAAGTCCCTACTCTGGAAAGGAGAAGCAAACAGTAGGGGTATATGCTGAAGCCCTTGCAGATGCTTTCTTGCAAGAAAGTAGATAGAATATGTGTAGAATTGTCACTGGAGTTGTGGTAAAGAAACTAGTGGGACCAAGAAGATAGGAAATGGTGAAAAAGAGGCATGTGGAGTAGTATACAAAATGGAAATATCATTGCCTTTCCTATTACAGCACAATTGAGTCCATTCACAGTGTTATAGAATAGACATTTCAGTGTGTTATTTTCTCTCTGGAAGCACCCTACCTGCTGACTTCATCACATTCTCACCTGTGATTGTCCCATTGAATCCCAATGGCACAGTGGGATGCACCCTTGGCTGCTCACCAACAGGATGGTTGTTAGAATCCTCTACTCAATCCATAGGAGAAAGATGTGGCATTTGCTTCCATGAAGATTTATGGCCTTGGAAATCCTGTAGAGCATTTCTACTTTGTCTTAGAGGGTCACTACGAACCAGAACTAACTTTCAGATAGTAAATTTGAGTTTTTTAATTGGATATCTCCCATAAGAAGCATGCTTGACCTTTCTCAGTTTGCATTAGTTATTATTCCTCTCTTCCTTCATAGACCCTAGTGCATAACTAGAATGTGGCACTGTACATGTTCCTTTTAATTGTCTGCTTCTCACAGTGGGGGTTAGTTAAAGCCTTAATCTGTCTCTTTATTTTTTGAATATCTTACAAATGAAAATCTCACAAACCTTTAGATAATTTTAATTTAGTGTGTGTTGGATAAAAAAAATTTAATACTATTTAAATTTTTAATATATTCACATACTTTTTTACCATATTACCCTTTATTATTATATTTATTATATTATTTGAGTCTTACAAAACTTACAATTCATAAGTTGTGATACACATAAAAGATATGAGCCAACACAGGTGAAAGGCTATCAATTAATTTGCTCAATAACTGTCAATTCATTAGTGATAGAGGTTGATTGTTTCAAATTCTACTCTAGAAAAGGCAAGTCCCTTAAGTCATATTTCCTGCAGTGTTCCATATGGAAAATGTTGATTTAATATAACTAAAAATGTCAATATTTTATTACATCTGCCTTCAACTTTAGTCGTCTGGATCTTCTTTCATTGTGATCTTCAGAGTTCTCACCTAAACGTGGTATAAACATCAAGCAGACAAATCTAACCATCCCCAAAACTTCTATAACAACAACAACAAAATGAAGAAAGGACCCATTGCCATCATCAAGTTTATTCTGGGTCGGAGAGACCATGTAGAACAGAATAGAACTGTTCCCTAGGGCTTTGAAACCTGAACATCTTTATATGTAGATGGTCTCATCTTTCTCCTTGCCTGACTGGTATGTTCAAATTACAGACCCCGTGGAGAGCAGCCCAATGTGTAACCCATTAAGCTACCAGGGCTCTTGTCTATAACTCTCCCTAATACCTTCTAGAATTATTATAACAATTTTTCTCATGCTGTGGTATTCGCTAACTATTGAGAATTCAAAAATTTTAGAACACTGAGGCTAATTTTAGATATAGTATTAAGCTTTGGAGAAAAATGGTATTAACTCATTTAGGCCTCCCAAATTTTAGCCTATATGGGTTAAAAAAGATGTTCCATAGATTAGTAGCTGGGGTCTGTAAAGCTTGTGAATAACCATCTAAAGTACAACCATTGTTCTCTCTCTGTCAAGAGGAAAGAATGAGGAAAACCAAAAAGACATGGAAGCAATTAGACAACTGAACTAATGGGCCATGAAAACATCATTCTCCATAACTCTGAGAGAAGAAAAATTACATAGTACCTGGTAGCCATTCCAACAACTCTTAAGAGAACTGAATTAGAAGATCCTGATGCAGTATCAGACTCACTCATTTATCTATGCCAAGAAATAAGAAACAGAGTACTTGGCCAAAATACAGAGTCATTGAACCTAAAAGAAAAGGGCATTCAACCATTTCGAGAGGTAGCATATAAGCAAGAATGAACGGTGCTCAAGGAAGAAATTCAAGCAGCGCTGAAAGCATTAGCCAAAAACAAGACTCCCGAAATTGATGGGATACCAATTGAAATATTTCAACAAACTGATGAAGCCCTGGAAGCACTCACTCATCTATTCCAGGAAGACAGCCATTTGGCCATCTAACTAGAAGAAATCCATATTTGTATACATTCCAAAGGAATGATGACCCAACAGAATGCTCAAATTATAGAACATATCATCAATATCACATGGAAGTTATAATTTTGTTGAATATAAATTCAACAATGTTTATAGCAGTAAATTGGGAGTTTTGTGAGGCTTAGGGTCAATTAAGAAGAGGATTTGAAACAAGGGATATTATTGCAGATGTCAAATTAATCTTGGCTGAAAGCAGTGAATACCAGAAAGATGTTTACTTGTGTGTTATTGACTATGCCAAGGCATTCAACTGTTGGATCATAATAAAGTATGGATAACCTTAAGAAGAATGAGAATTCCAGAACACTTCATTGTGCTCATGTGGAACCTGCATGGACCAAGAGGCAATTGTTTGGACAAAACAAGGAATACTATATGCATTAAAATCAAAAAAGATATATGTCAAATTTATAACTTTAACTATTCTATTCAATCTGTATGCTTAGCAAAAAATCTGAGATGCTGGTATATATGAGGAAGAACTTAGAATTGAAAGATTAGAAATGCTTATTAACAACCATTGATATGTAGATGACACAACCTTGCTTGCTGAAAATGAGGAAGGTTTTAAGCATTTGTGGATGGAGATGAAAGATTGCATTCTTCAGTATGGATTACAACTCAATGTACAAAAAAATCCTCACAAGTAACATCATGATAAATAGAGAAAAAGATTGAAATTGTCGAGAATTTCACCTTGTTTGGATCTGCAATCAACACTCATTGAAGCAGCAGTCAAGAAAGCAAGTGATGTGCTGCATTTGGTAAAACTGCTGCACAAAATCTCTTTGATGTGTCAAAGAGCAAGGATGTCACTTTGAGAATCTGCCCTAAGTTTTTGTATTTTCAACTGCGTTCTATGTATGTGAAAGTTAAACATATTTAATAACAAGAGAGAAGGGGAATTGAATTATAGTTCTAGCGAAGAATATTGAAACTACCATGGAATGCCAAAAGAACAAACAAACCTGTCTTGGAAAAACAACAGCGAGACTGCTCCTTTGATGTGAGGATGCAGAGACTTGGTAGCATGGCCCTCAGACATTGTATCAGGAGAGACAAGTCGCTGGAAAAAGATATCATGCTTGGGCAAATGGGAGGGCAGCAAAAAAAGAGGAAGACTCTCAATAAGATGACTGCAACAAGGAGCTCAACCATAACAACGATTGTTAGGCTGACACAGGACTACACAGTACTTCATTCGGTTGTACATAGCATCACTGGTTTGGAACCAATTTGACAGCACCATGACAAACAAGGAAATGTTAAAATTGTCAAAGATACAATTTTACTTGGATCCACGGTCAATAAGCATGGAAGAAGTAGTCAAGAAATCAGACAACATGCAAAAGCATCCAACTGTGCAGATCAGAAAGGCGTATGGATAACATTGATAAGAAGTACAAAGATTAAGATTAAATGGTTTGAAGACAGCAAAGTATACCACATGGTTTAACATAAGAAAATTAAAAAGAAAGAAAGGTACATATCAAGATTGTGTTGTTACACCATACTTACTCAGTCTGTATGCCAACAAATCATCTAAGAAGTTGAACTAGCATGACACCAAGATTGGAGGAATATTAATTTACAAACCACAACACGCACATGACAAAAACTTGCTTGCTGAAAGCAAGGAAGACTTGCAGAAGTCGCTGATTGTAATTTAATATCTCTGTACAGTTTTTTTTAAAATAGAGCTTAGCCTTGAGATCTAAGCCACACCTTCTTTAACCAGCATTTGATGTCATGGTCTAATTATTGCATAATGTGGTCCCAAATTCCTGATACAAAATTGCATTATAATATTCGGTAATTGTCTAGAGTGGAAATCAATGGAACTGGGCAAGTAAATAACTCCAATCAAAGCCGTTTGGGGAGAAGGTAGATAAATACGGATTGTGAGTGTGCTTTCAAGTCTGGAATTTTTAATATATTTAAAACATTATTTTGGGTCTGGTAATCCATGGTCCTTTCAGGTTTCTTCACTAATATCAGAATTCAATGCAGCAATTCTTCTATAATCATCTATATCCATGTGTTAGAATGGATATAAATCATTGAGAATACCATGGCTTCGGTCAAGCACACCTTAGTCCTCAAAGTAACATCTTTGACTAACTCTTTTTGTCTTGTGTAGTATATTAGGAGGTATGATGGCTTGGTGGTTTAACCATTAGGTGCATTGGGTAGTTAACCATTAGATTGGCAGTTCAAAACCACCAGCCGCTCTGAGGGAGAAAAATAAGGTTTTCTACACCTGTAAAGAGTTATAGAGACTCACAGAGCCAGTTCTACCCTGTGAGTCAGAAATGATTCTATGGCAGTAAGTTTATACAGCTTATTTACCTAACACAGTGTGTCATTTGATTTCTTAACTGCTGTTACTATATGTGTTGA